CGATGCTACACGACAGAAAGAGTGTAACAAAAAAAAAAAAAAAAAAAAAAAAAAAAAGTGTTAAGGAGGCTTTTGGGGATGGAGCTTTTGAGAACTTAGGAGAGATGTGGAGGTGATATCATTATAGATTTTTTTTTGTTTTGTTTTGTGGAACCCTTAGAACTTGTCTCAGTGTCACAGAGAGGAAAGAAGCTGAGGATGCCAGAGAAAGATGATCTGATTCATCTTGTGAGGTTCTACAAAGACTGGAGGGAGAGGATCTAAAATGGGCAGTGATGAGTTTCCACACACTCTGGCAGTCTTTCAGACAGAGGTGTGAAGACAGTGGAAATGCCCTGAAAGTAGAGGGGTGATGGACAGGAGAAATGAGGTCGAATTTCCCAATAGTACTGAGGCTCCGTTGCAGGTTGGTAGCCATTGCTTCAGTAAGTGACTTGCTACAGCAGCTGTCAGGTAAGAGTGAAAAATAGAGCAAAGATTCATCAGGGTGTGGGCTAAAGAACAGAGAGGACAAAGTGTTACTGACATCATGGGCTGTGGAAATCAAGCTACATATATGAGAAAGGATGTGAAGTGAAAATGTGGGCTTGGAGGAAGTGTTCCTGGGTGAACGTGTCATCTTGCCTATAGGCTGGGTATCATGGCCCAGTTGTGGCTCCTGCGGTCTCAGAATGAGCCTGTGTCTTTATGTAGGCCTTCTGAGCTCTTACTACAGGCTCCAGGTGCTGCTGGACCTTGCTACAGGATCCTCCAGTGACAACACCTGGAAAACCCCAGTTGAAACTTTATTTTTGTTGATGGAGCTTGAACCCAGAACCTTATGAATGCTAAGCTCACACTCTACTACCAAGCTACCTTTTCCCTAGCCCTTTTTTAATACTTTATTATGAGATAGGATCTCACTAAGTTGTCCAGGCTGGTCTTGAACTTGTGAAACTCCTTCTGCCTTAGCCTTCCAGAGTGCTGAGATTCGACTTATGCCGCTAGGCCTAGCTCTGGTTGGAACTTTAAAGTAGCCCTTTCTCCATGTGGCAGGCTCTGATCCATCTCCTCAGCCACTACTGCTCACTTCACCATTTGAGTTCAGTTTGTAGGGTTCAATCCAGGACCTACAGACTCACTCAGCCACAAATGAAGTTTTAAGTTCAGCGTGAACCCTGCCAACTTGGAGTCCCCTTGATGGTCTCTGTAGACCTCTCAAGCTTACCTGAGACTGTTTTGTACTGTGGTCCTATTATATCTGCCTTGTGAGTCCATCTGAAGATATCATAACCCTGCTCCACAGGTTCAAATTACTTGTTTTCATTCATCAAACATGCATGCATACAGAAAAGGAAGGAAAAAATACCATGTACCCACCACACAGATTTGAGACATTGGTTACTTCCTTTGCGTCAAAGTGCTCATAAACAGGATGGGGCCCATAGGTCCAGAAGTAGAGGCCAGACCCTCTTGAAACACTCAGATATTCAGAAACAGGAGCTCAATCCTCCAGCTCTGCAGAGAGCTCTGTGATCTAGGGCCTCAACATATACATACGGATGGGGTAGACCCTCACTCTGCCATTCAGAGGGTGAAGGCCAGGAACAGTTCCTTGCCTGAATTCATCTGGCCCTCTGTGTATCTGGATAGATACAGAGTTAGAGCCAGATCTATGAAAGGGCTGAGAGCCTATGAGATTGTAGCCTGTGAGAAGTGAGCAA